TCATGTAGATAAAGCCTTAAAAACTCACCAAGCATTAAGGACATAAGTAATAGGGTTGGGCGAAATTTGACATCCAAACTTTTTCAGTGGAAAACTGGGTTTCTGAGTGAAGTATTTTTTGAGATAATACTTTCTGTGGAATATTTGAACCTTTTCCTCAATAAAAAAGAACCTGCCAAAGCCAATAAGTTGTTCGTTTTGCCTGGGAAATTTCCCATGATGCACCACACCTATGGGATTGTCATGGCACACTGTAGCATCTCAGCAAGAAGAGGGAGCCTGATGCATTATACACCATGTAGCCTGATTAGGGAATAGAGCCTATAGAGGCAAAAAGGGAAAAGTCAGACAAGAAAAGGTGCTCACACTGTAGCTTCCTGAGGTAGTCTGGAGGCTAAATTGAAATTTTCAGCCAAAACCTTTCCACCAAAAATTTTCTGATGGATTGAATGATGGATTGCCCGCTTACTATCACTCTGCATAGACCAAGCCAGAAAATGAACAGAGTGGGTGTCAGAAATGCACTGAGGGCACTCTGGGCACCATGCCATCAAGATCTCAGACTGGCTTACTGGTGAGGACACAGTACCTCTCTAGATGCAGCTATGTTACATTTTGATGCATTTGGCTTGTTTGGAGCAGGAACGAGTGGACAGAAAGTCGTTTAATGGTGTCATTCTGTACCATGGATGAAGGCAGCCTAGATATGCCCCAAATCTCTATTTTGATATGAATAGGCCACTTTACTGTATAGGTATAGCTTGGTTATATGTGGAACAACAGAGTAGGTGGAGATGCCTGCATCAGGTGGGTGATGTTCCAGTGCCACTCCCAAGCATTTTGTTTTTACCACATTAAATCAGGAAAATTTCAACAACAAAAAAGAGTTTTTAAAAAACAGCAACAACTACCAGCGTAAGAAAAATATCTTTGTTATTAAGAATACTTCATATAATCACAATCATTTTATACATAATCTAGTATTTCATATACTTATTATAAATAAAGAGAGCAGTATAATTATCAAAATGTATAACAAAACTTGTGTGCCTGTTGGCAAATGAAAAACAAATTCACAGACCCAGTCCTCATCTTACATTGATACCGACTGGATTCTAACATGTTATTTATGAAATACAACTGGACAGTGACTTGTTAGAAACCCTTACCTGCAATACCAATGACTTCTGCGTGGATTAATCTAAGGCCACTTAATCTTAATTTTTCCCCCTATTTTTCAGAATAACCCCAGTTACAAGGACAGCTTTCAGGTGACTATGTTTTACTTCAGTATTTCAAATTTATGAGAATAGCTTGTATAGGGAAAACTCCACCAGCTTTGTTGATTTTCTTAGAAATAAACACAAACCCACAAGTATTACGATTTTCTCCACCACTACACAATTTTGCAGATGTTTCCATTAAATACCTTTTATATCCCACATTAATAAAATAATGAACTCTTTATCATCATTCTGTTTATAACTCAACATTTTAACTTATTTCTTTCTAATAAAATTATACATAGTATTTAATTATACAAAACAAAGCTGTCATGTGCAGGAGACTAAATAATGATACTAGATGTAAGAGCAGCTGTTTGTATGTTCATATGTTGGATTCTTGCTTCTTGTAATTTTAAGAGCCATAACGAAAAATTATTTACAGCCAAAGAACCCCTTTCCCCAGTGACCCAGCTGGAATCTGGAAGCTATACTTCTGCATTTATACAAAGTTTCAGGTTAGTTGAAGAAAAGAACATGGCTTACCTTCCTATCTGAGGATTTGTGCCTATATAACTATCCTAAATGAAGTGATTTCTGATATAGCTCAGTTATTGTGAAAATTACTATAAGGTCAATTGAAAACATAACAAGAATGGTCCATACAAACCTTATCTGTACTATAAACATGCCCACATTTAGATCACCTAAGGCAGGTCTGCACAGAAGGGGGTTCCCTGCCATGTGGAAATAGGAGACCTGCTTCAGCTGCACCAGGCCCAGTCCCTGGGATCCAACTAAGGGCACTTTGTGTGTGTGAGGACCATGTGGAGGCAGGGACACAGAAGGACAGGACTAAGGGGAATAGCTACTCCCCTTAATCCCTATGCCATGCTTGTTCCATAGAGGGACAAAGCCCTTTAGACCCCACACCCTCCAGCACTAGAATGACATGATGGAAATACTACAGCTGTTTCAGGAATGGATTTCATCATGGGGGTAACTTTAAGCACATAATCAATCCCAACTGTCTTTAGTGGAACTACTCATGGTCTTACTGTCAGGCATGCGCCTCAGCACCATCTCGATTCAGGGTGAGAGTTCCCTTCCATTAGGTGTGTCTATGCAACAAGGCAATTTGTCCCTTTGAGTTCTCTGGTCAACCCAAACTGAGGAAGCTTCTCATGCATTATTTGATACACCTGAAAAAGCAAAGCCTAAGACTAAAAATCAGTGTCCAATTTCAGATCACATTTGCAGGGGGAGGGAATCTTGAATGATTCCCCATCATTAGTCTGTATTTAAAAAAACAATCAACCTGATCCAGCAGGTTGTGTTAAACGTGTACCTATGTGTACATTTAGAGTCTATGAATATGACATGCATATGCAGTTCCTACAAGAAATTAGCTAACTAGGCCACATACACTGCTGGTGCTTTAGGTTACTTGCATTTTGTTGTCCATTTGTCCCTTGCACGCACTTTTTTTCTTACAAAACACTACCTCTCCAACCCTTGGTTGTCAGAATTACTGGAATCAGCAACTCAGGAGAGAAAGATTTTGAGAACATTGAAGGTCTCTGAGCCACAGTATAAGAACCACTGTAATTAGTCTAATCTGCATCAATCACACAGTTCCTTTTAATGTGCGGCACACATTTAAGTTCAAGAGAACAAACATTGCCTGAAACATACAGGTGGCAAGTAACTGGAACGCGGTTAGAGGAACTGAAATGTCCTCCAAAGAAAATATACACAAGAGTTCCAGATTTCATGAACTTCAGGAAGCTTTTCTGAGTATGCTGGCTCCCCTGCTGACATCATGCCGAGTCAGCATTAGAGCCTAATCTGCACCATTTGTATGACAAGGACAGTGCTATAGGTGCAGACATTATAGCATTTGTTCTCTTGCAAAGAAAGCATGAAAGTGATTAAAAAACTAAACAGAGATTTTGGGAAAGACTTGTTTGTTTCACTGCTCAAGTTTGCTCCTGGAGGAGTGTTCAATACCTGAAAATAAAATGGAGAATAAAAGGTTTTCAGATGCATTTTTTACAGGGAATTTAACATTAAACGTGCTGTAAAACAGGAACCATGCAAAATACGACATTGAAGGAAAATGTGCTTACTACACTGAAAAATTGTTCACGTGGTATTTAGACTAAAATGGTGGCAAAGACACCCTCAGCTTCAGCAATTTGAAACAGATACTGTATACGAGTGGAGTGCAATCTATTCTGTGACGCCAACTTTTCAGTGTAGAGAGATGTAAGGAATGAATGCCTTTTCAATACTTCATTCCCACTTGCAAACATGATTCCCTCTCTGCTTAGAAGGCAGGGGGGTGCCATACACGGGGGGAGGGAAGGTTGTCCTTTGTACTCCTTTGACCCTGCCCAGCACCAATGAAAGTGGGATCAGAATCAGACCGCTTATGTCAAGCAGTGATTGATTTTGTTTATAACAAGCTAAGCTATCTCAGTGATGCCTGCTCTTCCTCTCCAGCTCTTCTTGCTCTTGTGTCTTCTCTTGTATCTCTCCTGTTCTGATGTTTAAAAAAAAAACCTGGACAGTAATGTAATGATTTATATCATCAGTGCATTTTTTCTGTACAGCTCTACACAGTTTTCTTGGGCACGTTTAACCAAGCCTGGCTAATGATGGGCTGCTTTCTCTGTCCTGGGGTCCCTGGGTGCAGTCCTTTGTCTGTAGTCTTCTCCAGAGCCCAAATCTACCGTGTCGTGATAGTTCATGAATTCCTGAGGTAAGGGAAATTCCTCCGTTGATGAGTGAGTCCTGTGTCCAAACCCTCTTTCCTGCAGCTCAGCAATGTCATTTCTGATGTCTGCCATCATCAGCAGCAGGAAGTCAAATGAGCCTGGAGGGCCCTGCAAATATGTTGTACAGTCATTATTCATACTCATTACTTAGCACTCATCTGGTGCTTCACGCTTTCCATGCACCAAACACACACTGATATAATTATCCTCCCCGGGGGGTAATTCAGGCATTGGTTGCCTACTACTGTCTGCTTGAAATAAATTGTCTCCCCTTAAATAAGCCTTGGATTACCTCAGAAAACAAACTTAAAATAATAGAATTAAGCCTTGCCTAGATGAACTGTACAAGGTCTAAACCCCACCGCAGTCCCCGTGACTTGAAAACCACACTTTTAAAGACATGAAGGTACATGACTACAAGTGGAAGTACTGGCCTGCTACACCAAGACTGATTTTCACCCTGACAAACAAAAGTGGGTTTCACCACTCCCCATCTCCATCTTTTCCTCTTCTAATTTTTATTCATTAACCGTACCAAGCACCAGGTAATACCCTTTCACTGGCCTAATGTGTCTCTCCCCTTAAGGAAACCATTTGCTGGCATTGTCCCAGTTAGGTTTGTTACTGCCATTTACTATAATTTAGCTAATTAGTCCCATTGGAAAGCCAATGAACTAGAAAATCATGCAGGTTTTGCTTTCAATGTGTCCAGTGAATGGAGAAGAGAGTGAGTGGATCGACAAGTGTTCTGTTAATGGAAATAATGAAGTTATTTTCTGTGTAATAAACCTTTTGACAAGTACAAGCTCCTCTTTACAGTACAAAGAGTTGCTTTTCCCATTGCTATCCGACTGTGACACTATTCCCAGTCCCTTCTCTACAGTGGAAATGCCAGGTGGGTACATTATGGCTAGAAGTGACACTTACAGGTGTCCCTTTTGGTCCTGGTGCTCCTCTCTCCCCCTGTAATAAAAACCAGCTTCATGAATGCATTGCAATTAAAGCCAACAGAAAATTATACTGCTTTGCCATTATTCGCATACCACCCCTGCTGGCTTCATCCAATAAAGCAAGTAAGTTAAGGAGAGCTAGTATGATAGCTGCCACCTCATCTGACACTCTGGGATCTCCACAAGCAGATGTAGGTTGAGCTGAAGAGCAAAAGCTTCCTAGCTGGGGCCGTGCAGCTCTCACTCTCTGTGTATGTAGCACTGAACAGGGTCCATAACACAAACTTGCCAGTGTATTAAGCAGACGTTGCAGGCTCATGGGTCAGGAAGAAAGTCTGCCCAATGTATACCATGAAGGAATTAGCAGCTGGATCTGACAGCTTTGTTTTGTGTGGAAACTTCAGCCAGGTTTCCTTATCAGAAACTGGTCTTCATGACTGTCCCAGCTCTTGCTTTCTTTCACATTCAGCTCTGAAGCATGATCAAAGGAAGCATTATAGTCCTGAAATTCCTAGAAGTGATCACCTTTTGGCAGACACTGGTTTTAGGAATGTATGCCATGGTCATACCCTCTCTTGGTCTTGCCCAACTCCACAACCCTTAGTTCAGTGCAGAATTTTGCTCAGATTTTTTCACATTAGACACCAGTCTCTCTGTACAGGCACTGAGGACAATCAGCAAGTGTAAGAATTGCTGCCTTCTGTTTCCATGCTTTCCATAGCCACATTCAGCAACTGGTAAATTAGAGGATTACTGATGTAGCCCCAAGGCAAAACTTTTAAGCCTTGTCTGGCAAAAATAAAAGTCTCTCCCTCTCTCTCTCTCACACACACACACATGCGTGCACACAAATAATCAGTTTTTTTAAATGCTTGTAGGATTAACTCTCCAATAGCTTGAAGATGTAAAATAAATGTATAACAATTTCCAATCAAAACCACTGCTAGTTGTATAACAAAGCCCAACATAAAATACGCACCCAAGCCAAGAGTACAGGCCACAGAGCTTTTTCTCCACTCAGCACAGCTCTGTAATAGTTGTCTGGCTGAAGAGCTGATGCATTGGGTAAGCAGCCAGCTACAAGATTTAGTTTCTATTATCATTTGTTAGATATAAGACTAAAGTACATTTTTTCCTGCAACAATTGAGATCAACAAGAAACATCCAGTTTCCTGGGCTCTGAACATGCAAGGAAATAAGGCTGAAATATCAAAACAAAAAGCCCCAGCAAATGAAATCAGAAGGATACAGTCATGCAGAGAACAGGTTGCAGAAGAAAGCAGCAGCTCCTGTTGACAACGCTCAGAGTTAGAAGACCTGGATCTATCATGTGGTGCAGACAGGGATAGCACAAGAAGGAGCACAGACATGAGAAATCTGTAAGCAGAGTTAAGTACATTTCATATGTGTGATAATAGAAGTGGGAGAGACATAAGGCATTTTCAACTGGGGTTGCAGAAGAGAAGTTTCATAAGCAGAGCATACAAAGACAACTGTCTTAGTACTTCAAAGGAGCTGTGATTGGCCTTTGTTTATCTTTCCTAAAATATGTTGCTATTTATGGCACAGAGATAGATATTTAGACATGTATTGATATGCACTCATACATTAAGGTGACCCTCCCATTAAAAATAATTACATTTAGGACTACTTCTATGTTCTACCAGATAAAAAATATGGGTGTAGGAAACTTCATTTTAACTATACCTTTTTCTATTCCGCCTTGAACATGCACTTTGTGGCCATATGCTACAACATTTGTGTCATAAGCTAGCTGCTTTCTTTAGATACACAAACTTTGCACCAATAAATGGCTTAAAGCTGTGGGACATATATAAGCTAAAGGAGTTCCATGGCTTTTCACTGAATTAAACTGATTCACATCACCTGAAGCTATCTATGGCCTACTATTACTGAGGCCTCAGGGCAAATTTTTAAAAACCACCCACATGATTAGAAGCTTGAGTCCCAAGAAGCTTAGCTGTTTAGGTATCCCTTTGTATTGAAAGTCAGTGGACTTGGGTAATTAGGTACCTAATAGGGTGCTGTTACAGGTTACCTTTAAGCCATTCTAAATCTGTGGAATATTATGCCCTCTTAAATTTAGAACAGTTTCAGGAGCAATCCCAGGCTAAGGTTTAATGCCATTTAGATCTGACAAATGTGACTTGCCACAAGAGGGCCTGGAGAACAGGGGTATGGACAGAAACCAGGACTCTATCCCTCCTCTCTTGGGGGACAAGGGGGTGGGAGGGTGCCATGTAGTTTAGAGGCAGAAAAGCCAGCATGGGGTCTGGAGCTTCCCTCCCTCCACAGCAGCAAAAGCTAAGCTGAAGCTGCAGTGGGAGGGGAGAAATCTTGAAAAGCTGCTTGAAGTGAAGTGGAGGGGAGGGGGGAAGAAGTAAAGAGATAGGAGTGAAAAAAAGAATAATAATTAAAAAAAAAAAAAGGACCAAAATCGCACATGAGTCTCACTAGACTGGGACTGGGTTGGGGGAGAGGGGGCAGGGGGAGTGTTGTGTTACAGGGGTGACAGAGGTTGTGGTAGCTGGGATGAGGGAGATGTCCTGGCTGGGGAAGCGGTGGGGAGGAGGCCTCCTCTAAGGAATCCTGCTGAGCCAGTCGCTCTCCTGAGCTCACCTGGGCACAAGACCGCCCAGGCTGCGCTCCTGTTCCAGACAGTGGAAAAATTCAATTCACCCACTGCAGGGAATACATGCAATTAATTGAATTTCTTCTGTGCCGCCTGGCCACAGGTTCCTTGAAACCTAGCAACTTCTGCTAGCTCATGCTGCTTGGCAAGGGGGGGGGGGGTCTTGCCTGCCTCCCCCTTCCCCCACAAGTCCCAGTGGTCCCATCTTGGGCCCAGGTGGTATGGGCTTGTCAGTGGCAGGGGAAGGAAGGCAGAGCCAGGGCACAGGGCTAAGAACCAGCATGCTCACTGCATGGCACACAGCATACACCAGGGCTCCATACACTTGCTAGGAACTAACCCCTGGTGACTCTGCTCCCAGGTTGAAACCACCAGGCAGCTAGAGCATGGAGCCTGGGGAGCATACTTCCACAGGCTCCATGCTCTCACTTCCTGGTGGCACCATGCTGGTAGTGGAGCACTGGGGGTTAATATGCCATTGAAAATAAAAAAATTGAACTGAAAAAACTTAATTTTCCACACAGCACTAAAATGTGGAACATCATTAGGGAACATCACAGTGATTCAAGTTGTGTTTCAGGTTTGATAGTGATTGCAACAAAGACCTGATGAAGTATTTGATTCTAGTATTCTACTGTCACCCTGCTTAGAACTGAGTGAAAAATGTGCAGCAAATAATTTTATTTAACAAATGCAGCCTCTTTATCTGAGCAAAGCACTAGTTCTTGCATACAAACACATACATTAATCCAATTTATTTTGCCAATAGCTTTTTGCACTTTGGTAGGGTTATGCAACTCACCTGCATGTTCAGACTATGGCTGCTTGTACACATGTTGATAGTATGATGTACACCTGATAAAAATTTCCCTTTGTGTGGCTTAATGGCATCACATATTATATGTATGTGAGTTTTGGGGGTTTGAAATGAGTTTGCATTGTTGCAAACTAAACTACATCCCAATATAGCTTAGTTTGCAACATTACAACTTGGAAAATTGCAGCCATTAGTCAGCTCAACCTCCAGCTGCGGGAGAGGCAGGCAGGCTCCACAGAAAAAGAAGGATCAGGCCCTTCGCTGTTTCTCCCTTTGGCAGGCTCCTGCAGCTGGCAGGATGTCTGGGGCCACCCAGGAATGGGCTGGTTTGCCCCTGGGGCAGTATGGGGAGGGGGCAAGAGTGCGGCTGGGTGTGCTGCAGGCTGGAGAAGGTGACAGGTACAGCGCATGGGGAGCAGGGCCACTCAGGCAGGCTCCTAGCTTCTCCAAGCCCACTTAGGCTTCCAGCACCCCACGCACCACCCCTGCTGCCTCCTCCAGCTGCCAGCACACCCAGCTGCCCTCCTGCTGCCTCCCCACGCTGCCTCAGGGGCAAGTTAGCCCATTCCTGGGTGCCCCCGGTGTCCTGCCGGCCATGGGAGCCTGCTGAAGACATAAGTGGTGATGGGGCCCGATCCTTTTTTCCTGTGAAGTCTGCCTGCCTCTCCCGCAGCTGCAGGGTGAGCTGACCAATTAATGGCACAGATTAATGGCCCCCCGGCGGTGGGAGAGGTGGGCAGGCTCCGCTGAAGAAAAAGGATCAGGTCCCTCACCACTTCTGCCTTCAGTAGGTGCCTGGCAAGCTGCCAGGACAATAAGATATAGGCAATGACAGAAAAATAAAACACACTTTTTCAATTGAAAAATTAATCATTTCAATTTAGGGGGCATAGAATGCAGCCTAATGACTAAAAACCCCATCATGCGCACAAGCGCCCTGCATGTTCACATCATCTTTAGACTATGTATAATCAACCCACCCCATAGGGCAGGACTGTTCAATTGGCATCCCACAAGATGCACGTTAACTGCTAATTCACTGCATGCAGCCTGCAGGTTGCCAGTTGGCCAGCCCTGACCTATGGGATGGATCGATTATTATACAGTCTAAAGAATATTGGTGTTTGGTACTTGAGATTGGTCAGCAAATATCCACCATAATTTCTCCCCTGAATGGAAGAGCAGGTCAATTCTTCTGAGACAAACAGGGTGCATCTACATGTGCAATTAATGTTCACAAACAAACTCCGAAATTTATTGCTCCAGAGTTTTTTGCTCCTGGATACACCATTTGAATGTGCGCCCAGAAGCAAAAAACTCTGGAGCCTATTGTTCTGGATTGTATTTGCGTGCAGCACATGGAGCCCAGTTGGAGCAGCTTACTGTGATACCAATTTTGCAATTTGGTATCACAAATTTCACTGCCTGTTATGGTAGTGAAATGGACTGCAGAAACATTCAGGAAAAGGGAACCTGAAAAGACAATAGTGTGGTCAAAATACATTTATTTGTTGGATTATTTCCCCAGTTCTGTCCTTATGACAACATTGTATTTTTAAGCTAAGAAATGTATGCTCTAATTATTGCATGTTCATACCAGTGATGATGGATAAATAGAAACGCATGTATGCAGCAGTTATTTTACTAAAAATTAACCCTGCTGAAATAACGTATTACTTTACACCTGCTGGGGGAAACACTGAGTAAAATGCACAGGCTGAGGTGTTGCAGCTATGATGCCCTTTGTGCACAGACAGTGACTTTTCTGTTATGTGACCCAGATATCTTGATCCATGATGGAGAGGGAGTGAGGGGCAGGGGACTCTCCAGAAAAACACCAGAGAAAGTGCTAGTGAGAAATGGAAATATAAAATGTTGTGCGAATTTCAAGATTGGTTTTGAAAAGTACTCGGTATTGGTATATTTTTCTGCCAACAAAAGCCAGGTGTAAAATTCCATTGCCTCCAATAGAAGCAGAAGTGTGCAAATGCTGGTCCTTTTTAACCCTCTCTCTTACAATAGTGAAGCAAATCATATAACAGGACAAGCAAGTTGATGACCTAAGGCAGGGGGATCAAATTTATTTGATCCTGCAGACCAGATGAGTGGCATGGGGCTGGTTTGTGGGCTGGATCAGGCCCATAGACTGCTCCCCCATCCACACCTGATCCAGCACAGGCAGTACCCACCCAGGCCACTCCAGAAAGGTTGGGTGGCGCAGCCTGGGACCTGGCCCCAGTAAGCTGCACTGCTGGAGCTGGGTTCTGAGCTATGCCATCCATGCCACCTGCTGAGGTGCAGGCATTGCAACCTGGGGCCTGGCTCTGGTAGGTGGCGTTGCCTGGGACCAGCCCAAGCAGGCAGTGCAGCACAGGACCCAGCCTCAGCAGGCTGGGTCCTGAGCTGCACTGCTGCTGATCTTTGCTGCTGATCCCTAGCTGCACCTCTCATGCTGCTCACTCAGGCCACTTCATGAGCTGCGCTGCTCCCACTGCTTGCTGAGGCATGGGCAGTACAAGTTGGGATCAGTTTGAGCTAGCAAAGCTGGCAGTGCATGTCTCAGGCACTGCACAAAAAGGCTGGTCTGGTGCAGTAAAAGAGGCAGCATCAGGGGCTGGATTGTAGGGTTCATTGGGCTGGATCTGGCTCACAGGTCATACATTTGACACCCCGACCCAGGATACGGATAGATGTTCATTTGCGCTGGCATAATTTACATACAGTTTGCATCCCGATGTAAATTACACTGAGATCAAGTATGGGCAGATTTGTGCTACCATCTAGAGGAGCAGCTGACAACCCATTTTGGATTTAGCAAATGCCCACTGTAGATTATAATAGGCCTTAAACTGCTTAGGATAGCATAATACAGAGTTACTTTTATTTGCTTGATCATAGTTTGGTTAAGAGAAGAACAGGTATTGGAAATGATCAGGCAAAAGAATGTCATAAGACGTGAACAATTTTAGAAAGCTCCAGGAAGACAGATTGAAAAAAGGTTCCCTCGAGTACATTTAGTGGCTTGGTGATAGACAAGGTTAATTTTAGATAAGATCTAGCTTATATAGAAAATGACAAAGGCTTAATGAATATTAATTAAGGTAGCACTTATTACAAATTCTTTGATTTTTTTTTAACCTTATTAAGTTTTTTGATATTTTAGCCAAGCAATAGAGTATAAAATCTGGGTCTACTTTGGAAGTCTTGCTCTTCAGTCCTGAACTACAATTCTTGCTGAGTTGCCCATTTTCAAGTGTAGTTGCTTGTGCTATGTAGCAATTTTGTTTTTGAAAGCTAGGTAAGAAGGTCCTTTCCCTAAAGAGCTGGCCATCTGTTAGAGTCTTTAAGACTTTGGGGCTTAGAAATTTTAAGATTAAATTGCTTTCAAATATCAATAAGATTGTCATGCCTTGAGATAAATGTGCATTTTATAAAGTTGAATCACTTATGTGATATGGCTTATCTGAACTATTTAGTCATTTATATATTTTCTGTATTTTGTTATTGAATTTGCTATTAAAAACTTAAGTCTTATGAGTGCTTAATTGTGGTGGGCTAGCTCTTTAAACCTTTCTTGGTTCTCATCTGGAAGTCAACACCACCTCAGGACAGAAATAGACAGATGCAACCTAAAATAGCCTAAGTCAGTGGTTTTAAACGCATGGTCTGCAGACCGCTGCGGGTTTGCAGACTATGTCTAAGGGGTATGCAAAAGATGACTATGATCAATCAGAAGTATGTGAATATCCACACTTATAATTCAAAGGGGTCCAAACCTCCATTCAAAATTTCCAGAGGAGTCCACTAATGAAAAAAGCGGTTTAAGTGACACTGAGAAAGGCTTATTCCTGACTCTTAGGGTAATTCTACTAGATTAGGTGAAGTCATACCTAGTGTAATGCCAATTGAAGATCTATCAAGTGAAATGGGAAGGAGCACAGAAGGCATTTCAGAGTACTTCACTTTGTAGAAAGATATTTACTGAGGGATATAGAGAAAGCAAGGGAAGTACTTGCCATATGACAGGAGAAGCATTCTCCAGACTAAAGAAACATAAATACAAGTCCAAAACAGAGAATAAGGGGAACAGGCACGAGTAACAGCTAACAGGTAGGCTTCTGCAGAGCACGTGAAGTGAGAGTATCAAAAGTACAAGGCAAATGTGTGGAACATCTTGAAGGAGTAACTAAAAAGTCTGAAATTCACGTGCAAGCAGACAAATCAGGAGTACAGATTCTGAAAGATTTCATGCCATTCTCAAATCATCAGGAGAAAAAAATTATCACAGCATTCAGAAGAAACTGTCTATAGGACCAGAGAGAGAGAGGAGTAACACTGAATGAGCACATGCACATATTCAGGAAGGGAACAATACTTCTCTGCTCACCTTGCTGCCATCTCTCCCTGGTGCTCCTGGTGGACCCTGCAAGGAACAATATGCACAGGGTTCTAATGAGTTGCATGTGGAAAGGGGAGGGATGGGAGGCAGGAGAAATGGACACTACACATTTTTGTCAGGAAGGTAAAATACTGACCATTGGGCCTCGTCTGCCCTGCTTAATATGTGAAATGTCAGGAGATGGTCCAATGGGGCCCATCGATCCTCGAGGACCTGGTTCCCCTGGTGGTCCGGGTGATCCAGGAAATCCTTGGCTTCCCTTTGGTCCTGGGGCTCCTGTAATCAAAAAAAGACCGAGTGAAGGTTACTACCCAGCTAAACACTTTGAACAGTAATGTGAATGCTGGTCAATTGTCCCCGCTGGCAGAAATGTAAATATGTAAATAGACCTTTGGCTCGCTATGGTTTTTTAGTCTAGGGTGTACGGGCAGGCCTTGCAGGCCGTGAGCCCAGGACCATGTCCGTGAGGCCCAGGTGTTTGGGCCAACCTGTACATACTCTTTACTGGCCCCGATTTGTCACCCTCCCTGGAATAAACGCCTCTTAAAAGTCAAAGTCTTTCTTTCTTTCTTTCTTTCTTCTGTACCACTGCCCCGCGCCTCGACCGCACAGGGCCTGAGCCCCACCTGCCCTCCGCTCGCAAGCTGCAAGCTGCCCTGGAGGGGGCAGACCTCGTGGACGTCTGGCGAGCCCTGCATCCTGATGCGCACCAGTACACCTGGGCCAAGATGGGTGCCGGGGGTCTCACCATGGCTCGCCTCGACCGCCTTTATGTCACCAGGCATCACCTGCCACTCCTGCGCAGCAGCTGCATCGCTCCCTCGGGTCTGTCAGATCATGGCCTAGCCTTCTGTGAGCTGAGCCTGCCGGGGAGAGCCTGTGCACGGGCACCTTATTGGTGTTTCAATGTCAGCCTGCTTCAGGACTCCTATTTCCGGGACTGCTTTGCCCACTTTTGGCGGTGGTGGGAGGCTGCGAGACTGAGCCACTCCTCCTGGAAGTTGTGGTGGGACGTGGGCAAGGTACAGATCCGAGCCTTTTGCCAGCAGTACATCCAGCTGGCCACAAACGAGATGCGCCGACGTATCTGGGAGTTGGAGGAGGACGTGGCGGAGCTCGAGGCTGCTCTGCTGGCTGCTGGCAGTGACGCGGCATTGAGCGAGAGCCTCCGGTTCCGCAGGAAATGCCTGTGCGACTTGGCGGAGAGCGCGGCCCGCGGTGCGAGGATCCGCGCCCGCTGCCAGGAGCTGGTGGAAACTGACACCCCAACCCGCTTCTTTTTCAACCTGGAGCAGCGGAGGGCAGCGAGCAAAGTCTTGGATCATCTCAAGACTCCTGAGGGCCGGGTAATTACAGAGCCGGGTGAAATACGCGAACATGCCGTCGCCTTTTATCGTGACCTGTTTGCAGCCGAGCCGTCGTGCCTTGAGGCCACGCGGGAACTCCACGAGGGCCTACCACGTCTTGATGCCCTGGAGGCCGGTGAGCTTGAGCAGGACTTGTCCCTGGAGGAGCTGGCGGCCGCCACGGCCGGCCTCACCTCTGGCAAAGCCCCGGGGCTCGATGGGTTGCCTGCCAAGTTTTACAAGACCTTCTGGCCTCTCCTCGGCCCCAGCCTCCTGCGCGTTTTCCAGGAGAGCCTCG